GATGCGATAATATTAGATGAGTGTAAAACAAATTTTCGTGGTCTAAATTGTGAATCATAAAAGAATTTTGTATCTTGACTTGAATAAATCTGTAACCAAACAAAAAATCCCAAACTGGAACTGCTAGTTTAAATTTAAATGGATAACAAAGTTACAAAGATACCCCTAAAGCAAAATGCTCAATATCAGGATTTTATAAAGGTCCGTTTAATATTAATATAGTACATTTACTAATAATTATAATAGTAGGACTTTGTAGACTTTTAGGAAAAAGAATTGAAAAAGTAAAACAAATATTTATGGGGGTAAAGAAAAAAGTAAAAATACCTTAGTAAAGAATATAAAAAGAAATAAAGAGCAAATAACAAATTAATAGCCCAAAAAACTAACAGATATCAGCCTAAAACAGCCCAGGGAAAAAACAAAAACAGAAGGAATGGATTGACTGTGAGAATGAAATCTACATTTGAAAGAACAAATCTATTAAGAAGAATATAAAAATGTTTGAAGAACAAGCAAAACCATGATGAGATTTTAATAAAACCACTCTTTGAAAAGACAGAAGAAATAACAAATTTGAGCACAGAACATGATATGATTTTGGTTGTTATTAATCTCGTCCTTCATCTTGGGAAGTTGGGAACTAATGGAACAACATATACTATATGCAAAATTAAATATACATATACAAGAAGGTTCTCACACGGTCCAAAAGATCGGGTTTTTCAGTGGACCAAAAGTCAAATAGTCAATTATAATGTTTTACTTTATCAACCTAACCATAGTTAATAATTGTTACCTTAATATTCAATTTACCATAGTTAGTTTATACCTTTATTCAATTACTTTCCTTCTTAATCTTTTCCATCTTTTTTGCAATCTCAACCATTACCGCCATATCCACACCATCACAGCCACCATCTCTCTCTTTCTCTCTCTGTTTTTTTGCACTTTGATTTATTTATTTTTTATTTTTTTGCTCTCTTAATTTTTTTCCCTTGATGGCCTGACCGTTGCTTTCTTATTTATTTTTTATTTTTATTTTTTTTGCTTTCTTAATTTTTTTCTTCGACCCATTATTCCGCACTTAGTGAATGAGTCTCAAATAGAAAACATATATTGTATTACTTTATCATGACATGGAAACAATAAAAGGTCTTCAAATTTGGGTTTTTGAGACAAAAATAAGAAAAATCTCGATTCTGGCAATTTTCTCGTTTTCATTTCCTATTTACGTTTTCACGCATTACAATTTCCTTCAAATTTTATCACAAATACAATTAAATATCCAATCTTATCATCCCAATTTTGGAAATAGTTTATGGTATTAGAAAATTGATGTTTAAAATTTTAAAATATGTCAAACTATTTCTATTACTTTACTCCTTTTTTTTTTTTTTTTTTAACTTTTTTTAGTGGTTGAAAATAATCATGCAGAAACATTTTGGCGAGGCCATGTCAAGTGCACAAAACACGCGCACACACACCCTATTTACCACTTCACAGTTTCTCTAATTTAGATCATCATTAACAAGAACTTTAATACTACATGCCTAGCAATTCATGGCGGTAGTGGTTGAGATTGCAAGGAAGATGGAAAAGATTAAGGAGGAAAGCCATTGAATAAAGGTACAGACTAACTATGGTAAATTGAATATTAAGGTAACAATTATTAATTATGGTTAGGTCTGATAAAGTAAAAAATTGTAATTGACTATTTAACTTTTGGTCCGTTAAAAAACCTTTTTTTGGACAGCATGAGAGCTTTCCTATACACACACACACACACAAATTCTTACACCACATCTCTAAGTTTCTCATTATCTATACTTAGACCATTATTATCTATACTTAGAAGCATTTTATGGTCTAAATATAGATAATGAGAAACTTAGAGATATGGTGTAAGAATCTGTTCAATGTGTAACTTGTTAACTTTATCTAAGACAATGAATGACATTTTTATAAGTTGCCTTGAAGTTTATGAAAGGATGCAACATCCATATAATAAAAATGCTAAGGATATACTGGTCTATGAAACATAAGAGAAATAATGGTAGGAGGTTTTAAATTGTTTATCTATAGCCATTAGCTGTTTGTGAGTTAAGTCCTATTTGTTTATTGGTAATTAAATTATTGAAAAATTTAGCAGAAGGGAAGTAAATTGGACTTGAAATCGTAGATGGCCTCAAGAAAAGCATATATACAATTTATTAAACACTTTTTGTATGATTTGAGTTTCTTTGTGCAGTTAATTATAATTAAATGATATCAAACAATTGAAGCAAGTTCCTCCTAATCACTAGGTTCTGTCAAACAATTGCAAATTTGCTAGGCAAAGCCCAGCCAAACAAAAACCTTACAGCAAGGAACAGAGTTGACTGATTTAAAACACTGCAAGGGAATTAGGCGCCAGTAAATAAGACCAACGATATCTCCCACCTTCTCACAATCCACAACCCAAAGAAGCACAAAAGGAGGCCAAAACTGAATCAGGATTCAAACAGGAAAAAGTGGTTAGTTCAAACATGAGGGTCAAAGAAGGAACTAGGGAATTGCCAAATTTAGCAGTTTACTCGGCCCCAGGTCGATCATTTACAGCATCTCACTGACATGAGTTGATGCTGGATACAGTAAAAAATTACTTGAGTGACTGAAGGAGGAAGACCATGTATTTTTTAAGATTCTAGCACAGTTCATTCTTTCCAAATGTGATAAACGAAGCTAGCCAACCCCAGTTTATATGCCAGAAACTCAACTAGAGAAGGGTTTAGTTTTTCCAGTGCCAATCAGGAGGGTAACATGAAAACCACATTTGAGTTGTATATAGGGGAAGAAGAGTACCAGCAATGGAGGCACAGATGTTTGTGTGACTCAGAACCAGCATAAAAACGGACACATTCATTAGATTGCACGAGGAAATTAAGAATAAGTCTATCCTTGGTAGGAACTAGGAAGTGTCCCTTGAATGGCTAACCAACGAGCAAAAACTGCGTATGGGAATAGAAAGAAGGAACCAAACTAGACAGTGTCTATGAAAGGTTGGAAATGGTTATGAAGATATGTGCAAAGTGAATTCACCACTAGGTGAGGAGTGTCCAGGATATTAAGTCTTCCTGAGATAATGGACAGAAGGTACCCTGGCCATGACCAGTTACTACCTGAGATGATAGATGATACCGTAGCATATTTAGGCACACCCATCCATATCTAGAGTTGACAATAATAGTTTCAACAAGAAGACCACAAGGCAGCCAAGGATCAAAGAACAAGTGAGCACTGACTTTGTGCTGCAGCATAAATAGTAAATTCTAACATTGTAAAGTAAACAAGACACTTTCTTGATTCTCTGCCATGACAATTTAATCTAATTTTTGCTGCTACACTGTACACTCCCAGTTCTCATATAGCAAGGAACAGAGTTAACTGTGATTTCAAAATTCTTTAAGATCCTTAACCGTTCCAAAAAAAAAATACTAAACACTGCAAGGGAATAAGGCGCCAGTAAATAAGACCAATGATATCCCCCACCATCTCACAATCCAAAAGCCAAACAAGTACAAAGGGAGGCCAAGCTGAATGAGGATTCAAACAGGAAAAAGTGGTTAGTTCAAACACGAGTGTCAAAGAAGTAATTAGGGAATTGCCAAATTCAGCCCCAGGTCATTTACAGCACTTCACTGACATGAGTTGATCCGGATAGGGTCAAAAATTACTTGAGTGTCTCTGGAGGAAGAAGAGCAGTTATTTTCGAAGATTCTAGCAGTTCATTCTTTCTAAATGTGATAAACGAAGCTAGCTAACCCAAAATAGCAGAACTAATGTAGAGAAGGGTTCAGCTTTTCCAGTTAGAAGAAGCACAATTAAGGAAGGAGTGCCAATCAGGAGGGTTCACATGAAAACCACATTTGAGTTGTATAAAGTTCCAAATGGTAGAAGAGTACTGACAGTGGAAGAATGGATGTTTGTATGACTCAGCACCAGCATAAAAATGAACACATACATTAGGTTGCACGAGGAAATTAAGAAATAGGTCTATCTTAGTAGAAGCAAGCTTCCCTTGAATAGCTAACCAAAGGCAAAAACTGTGTTTGAGAGTGCCCATGAAAGGTTGGAAAGCGTATAGTGTACGAACCTAGGATGGGGAGACTCTTCCTCTGACTTACTTCTCACTCACTAACAGGAGACAGAAGATGACGGGATTCAGGTGAGAAGTGGTGAAAAGCTGGGCCCTTCTTTCGAATGATTGACCAATGTGGAATATTCTGAGCCCACTCTTGATTAGTTCTTTGGCCATTAGAAGGGCGCCTAAAGCATAGTCTAAGAATTTCAAGGTATGTGCAAAAGAGAATTTCCACAAGAAGCAGGCCATGACCAATGACTGCCTGAGATGATAGAATATAGATGATACCATAGCATATATAGGGACACCCCATCCATAAAATCATACCTAGAGTTGACGGTAGTAGTTTGAACAAGAGGACCACAAGGCAGCCAAGGATCAAAGAACAAGTGAGTACTGACTTTGTGTAGCAGCAAAAATAGTAACTTCTAACATTGTAAAGTAAACAAGACACTTTCTTGAATCTCTTCCATCACAATTTAATCTAATTTTTGCTTCTTCAATGTACACTCCCAGTTCTCATATAGTTGTTCTCAATCTCAAATATGCATTTTCACTCACTTTCCCTCACACAGGTAGAAAAACCTTTTTTTATTCCATTCCTAATGCACACATTATTGCTATTTGCTCAAATGTTATCTTAATCTGCTTCAATTATTCAATTTTGCTTTTCTCTATTTCAATGATTTATAAGATAACTGACAAGAAGCTTATCTAGTTCATATTCAAAACTAGATTTAATCAACCATCTTAGTAAACAATTAAAACAACTGATCAAGGAAAGGAAAAAAGGAAGACAAAAAAAACATCATACTCAAAGAAAAGCAATGGCATAAACATAACCAAGACAGTGCAAAACTAAAATTTCACAACCCAATTAAAGAAAACAAGCTCTCTCCATTGTTATACAGATCATATCTATTTTACAAGTAGAGTTACAAAGCAAGAGAAAATCTTATCCCATTAAGCCAGAAGCAAAAGTAAGCTTAGTTGCTTACCCAATTGTCATGAGTATCTAAACAATCCAGAGAATAAAGAGAACAGCTTTCCCATTATGCATAACAAAGAAGACAAAACTAGAAGGTTGCACATCAATGAACCTAAATTTCAGAACTAGAATTCAAAAAGTGAGAGATAGGGGGAGAAATAATAATAAAAAAAAGGAACCTCCTTATTTTCCACTTTTCAATCTTCAACCTCTCCTCCTGCAAAACTCAAAGCTTGACAAACTGATGGCTCAATCTCTTCGTCGGAGCAAAAGTATGATCTACTTCCAATCAATTCAGCCACCCTTTTCGCTGGTCCTGAATCCCGGGGACTGTCAATGGTGCAAAGGGCAGTCCTAAGCCTCGGAAGCATATCGGAAATCTTATTAATGGACAACGGAGAACTATTTTCCACCAAAATTTCTTCATGGAAAATTGCAGGGACCATCAATGGTGCACTGGGAATTTCCCACTTCTTCTTCACTCTGCTCTCCATACATTGATCACGGCCTAGTTCTGGCAGAGTACCACGCGATCTTCCCACCGATGAAGCACGCTTCTTCTCGCTCTTCCTCACCTCATCGTTATCATTTTCCGGTAAAGACCTCTTTCTCATTGCCGAATTCTGAACTGAGCTCTGGTTATACCGACTCGCCACGACCCTACCTTGTTTCCATGGCTTCTTAGCAGGAACTGACTTTTCTCCATCTTTGAAGAGCTTCTTTGGCTGAATTGATGAGAGAACCCCTTCATCTTTCTTCAGAGATTTCCGTGATCCCACAGTGGTCACTGCTTGTCTTGAAGGTGGAATCTTGGAGATGGTTTTCCGCGATTTAGGACTAACACTCGAACATTTTCCTCTTTCTTTCTTCACCTTCTCTTCATCAATGTCATGAAGCTTCCAAAAGCATGATTTTCTTCTATTTTGTATTGCTTGAACAGGGGTGATTTCCGGCTTACCCAATTGACGGGACTTAACTCCGGCGACTATCTCCGATGGGCCCAAACTGACACCCCTACGCACTCCGGCAGCAATCTCCGATGGGCCTAAACTCAGACCTCGGCGCTGGACCTTTGTACGAGCACTCAACTGAGAGGGTTCTTCAATCTTTTTCACTACATCTGAAATCTTGACGCTCTGTTTCTGTTCCATGAACTTCGCCGGCACAACCCTTCCTGGCCTTCCGGCTTTTTTCGCATTCTGTTCAGCCTTTTCAACCTTAAGCGCCTCTAGTCTGGTAGACAATCGGCAAATTTCCATCTCAATCTTCTCAATTTCTGTATCGATCTTCTTCTCATCGCGAAACTCCTGTTCGGTCCCATTCTTGGGAAATGAATTCTCTGCAAGACCCTGTTTGGAAAAGATCTTTGTGGCCTTCCCTTGAGAGTTTCCGATAGCGCCATTTGGGCGAAGTGGCTTCACCGGTGCCGGAGATTTCACAGGAACAGGAGATTTCCCAAACACGGGACTTTGATTTTCTTTGCTCGAAGCAGAATCAAGAGATTCGGATCGATTCACCAATAAGGGTTTCAGGGGAGACCAAGAAGCTTTGATGGCGGATGATTCTTCGGATTCTCCATTGTCGAATGCAGCGTTGTTCCATATCTGAAGATCTGATATGTTGTTGTTTATGGCTTCAAGAATACTCATTTTTCTGTAATGGGTATGAATGATTTTTTAGAGACAGAGAGAGAGAGACAGAGAGAGAGAGAAGTACCAAGTATGTATGTTTGTGTTCTTGAAGGGTTCTTGAGAGTGATAACAGAGACAGAGAGAAGGAGCGAATGGAGAGATCTCCAAATTAGGGAATTTTCTATATTTTGAGATTTTCGACCGTTGAGGAAAATTAGACGTTGGCGTACGGTCCATCGTCGCCGTTGGATGCTAAACGGCACCTATAGACGCTCCGATTTGATTAAAAGGCTTACTATTGAAGCTATTTTGGATTTTAGTTACCAATGGTGCCCTTGATTAACTACTGCTCAAAGACGCGCCAAGGCTGGGGGCCCAACACAGAATAAAAGCTGGGCTAGCATAAAAGGATATGTAAATGGGCCCAAATGAAGGTCCAGTAGACTATTGGCAACTTCTGATGAGATATGGATCCCCTCACCCATTTTGAATCATTTATACTCTGTTTGTGTTTGTTTGGATGTAAAATAAATTTTTTATTTTTTGATATTTGATTATCGTAAAATATTTACAAAAAAAAAAAATATTAAAATCTAATAAAAGTAACTTATTTATTAATTTTTGACAAGTTATTTTACACATTCCGTCCAATGGACTCGATCTTAATCTCAACCAAAACTTTTGCCAAATATTAGAAAATAAAAAAATATATTTTACTTGAAAAAGAAAAATCATTTCCAAAAAAAATATTTTACGTCAAGTCTCTCTCTCTCTTCCCTTCTGCCCAAATTGATACCTATCACTCCTTTGTTTTTTTTTTTTTTTTTTTTTTAATGTGTGTTTGTGTTATTCTCTTATATATGTGAATATTTGTTGGTTGATATTTCATAAATTACGTGTTTTTTAGAAATACTTGATAGAGCATTGTATATAATTAATTAATCATTTCTTTCCTTTCATGTGATTAGTTAATTAGTCTTCAAATACTCACATTTTTTTTTTTCGGAACAACATTGAAGGCCAACAATTCTAATAATGAAATTGTTACTTACGCTAGTGGTAGGCTATTTTCTCTCATATACCAATAAATGTTTAAGTAGCTTAGTGATGTTTTTATTATAAATTATTTGTTTGTCTAACTTTTCTTCTAACTAATGTAAATAGAATTATGTGGGAACTATAGATGGGATTCCCCTCCCCCCCCAAGATCAATGAAAATTCTGTGGCCGAAAAATGGGGAACAACACAAAATGTTCTAGCTGATATCTCTTGACTTAAAGTTCACATATGTGCTTGATGGTTGGGAAGGATCTGTACATGATTCCTATATTCTAAGTAATGCACTTTCGAGACAAAGAGAGCGCTTACAAGTCCCTAAGGTAATGTTTAACTTTGGGCTATTCGTTAGAGTATAATCGTGGATGATAAATTAATTATAATGATTTAACATTTAATTTGTAGGTAAATGCTCTCTTCTTGATTCGGGTTACGGCATATGAAATGAATTTATTCCCCCATATCGCGGCGCTAGGTATTATTTGAAAAAATATAGCAACCGTCCTCCGAAAAATGAAAGAGAGTTGTTCAATCTTCGTCACTCTTCTTTACGGACCTCTACTAAATGTGGTTTTGGTGTAATAAAGAAATGTTTCCTTATGCTTAATGCCGAGCTTTTTTGGGACTATCCAACTCGAGTTACTATGGTACTAGCATGTTGTATCTTACACAACCACATAATGGGAGTTGGTCCAAATGAGGGGATTATGCAAGACACCAATGATGATTTTCAAACCGAAAAACAACAAACACAAAGAGAAGAGAGGGCAGAAAGTAGGGAGTTAACAATTAGAAGGGATGCCATAGCCAATTTTTTGTGAAGACATTTCATTTCTTAAAGCTAATAGTTGAAAACAAAGCAAACATGTTATGTTACTGTTGATTTTCTAATTTTAGTATTTTGAATGCATATAGTGATTGCTAATGAGTTGTCTTATTTTCAGATTGTGTTATTGACATTATATCGTTGTTTTTGTACCCTTTTTTTTCATAATTTCTTTGATTTGTTTTTATTATCATATTTTTTGTATTAGCTATTTTTTGTTTCTTCAATTTTCTTATAAATATGATACTGAAGTGTTAATTGATACAAATAAAGAAATATGTAAAGATGAGAAAGAGATGTAAAGATGAGAAAGAGAGGGAGAGAGCTGCCTTTTGTATTTCCTTCACAATCCATTTGTATACGTATAAGCCTATTTATAGGCATAATTTTCGTGGGCAGCAAGCAGCTTATACAACAAGTTGCACTGCCACTCAATTCCTTCATTCTATATACCAAATAGAAGTACTGGACTCCACAAATAAATATAACACTCTCCCTTGGGGTCCACAATATTACACTCAGAAAATGCCTCGTTAAAACTTTGCTAAGGAAAACCCAGTGGGACAAAACCCTAGCGAAATAAAAAGAGTATAATATTCTTGTGTATTTGAAAATGATATTGTATAGATTAAAACTGCCTCATTAAAACCTTGCCAGAAAAATTCAATGGGATAAAATCTGGATGAAGGAAAAAGAGTACAGTATGTCAATACCTCTTCAATTAATTGCTCCCTCTCATTGTTGTATTAGATCAACCCTGAAAATCCTTTAGTTGACGCATTCCAATGTTGTACACCAGCTTTTTGAATGTTATAATTGGAAGCGTTTTAGTAAATAAATCTGCTAGATTTTCATATGAACATATCTTTTGAATATTAACATTACCATTTTTCTGGCGTTCATGTGCATAAATGAATTTTGGTGAAATGTGCTTGGTCCTGTCACTTTTAATATACACTTCTTTCATCTGTGCAATGTATACCGCATTATCTTCATATAATACTGTTGGGCTATCTTTTATTGATGAGAGACCACATGTTGTTCGAATATGTTGGATCATTGATCTCAACTAAATGCATTCACTGTTTGCCTCATGTATTGCGAGTATCTCAAAATCATTTGAAGAAGTTGCAATCATTGTATGTTTCATAGATCACCATGATACAACAGTGCCGTCATAGGTAAACACATATCCTGTTTTTGAATGAGTTTTATGTGGGTCAGAGAGATAGCCGGCATCTGCATATCCAATTAATTGAGAATTTGATTCTTTTGAATAAAACAATTCCATATCAATTGTACCATAAAGATATCGCAATATGTGTTTGATTCCATTCCAATGTTTACGGGTTGGTGCAGAACTGTACCTTGCTAACAAATTAACTGAAAAGACTATGTCAGGCCGGGTGCAATTTGCAAAATACATAAGAGCACCAATCGCACTAAGATATGGCACTTCAGGACCAATGAGTTCTTCATCATTCTTTCGAGGACGAAAATGATCTTTTTTGACGTTAAGTGATCGGACAACCATTGGAGAGCTCAATGGATGGGCTTTATCCATATAAAAATGTTTCAAAACCTTTTCTGTATATTTTGATTGATAGATGAGAATACCGCTCGAAAAATGTTCAACCTACAGCCCAAAGCAAAATTTTGTCTTTCCTAAATCTTTCATTTCGAATTCTTTCTTTAAATAAGTGACTGTCTTTTCGATCTCATCCAATGCTCCCATAAGATTCAGATCATCAACAAATACTACAACAATAACAAAACCAAATTATGATTTGTTAATAAAAATGCATGGACAAAGATGATTGTTCTCATACCCTTATTTAAGTAAGTACTCGCTAAGGCGATTGTACCACATTCGCCCAGATCGCTTCAATCCATATAAGGATCGTTGTAATTTTATCGAGTACATACTACGTAGTTTTGTTTCAGGCATTTTAAATCCTTCAAGGATTTTTTTATTATATAATATCACTATTTAGTGAGCTATATAAAAATATTGTAACCACGTTCACAATATACATATCGAGTCATCTGTGACTGCTAAATTAATTAAGAATCGAAATATGATTGCATCAATCACTAGAGAGTATATCTTCTCATAATTAATACTTGGTTTCTGTGAGAAAGTTTGAGCAACCAGTCGGTCTTTAAATCTTATAATTTCATTATTCTCATTCTATCTTTGTACAAATACCTAGTTATACCCAACAGGCTTTACACCCTCAGGTGTCTGGACCATAGATCCAAAGACTTCTCGTCTAGCTAATACAATTAGCTCTGCCTATATTTCTTTTTTTCATGATGGCTAATCATGTCTTCGACAACTTTCTTCAACATTTTGAGGTTCCGGATCCACATTATTTATATTAACAGCACTTGTATAAGATAATATAGTGTCCACGACAATTTCATTTTTGTTCCATTTCTTTTTGTAATTTATTGAGATCTCATTATTTTCAGGTACCTTTAAAATATTATCATAGTTAGCTAACTTGACTTCGTCAGGTCTGTAACGACCAAAAAAATAATAAAAAAAAAAAAAATCTCGGCATGACCTCTACAGAAAAAGTCCTACTATGACCTGCTGAAATACATATAAAATGCAATGGTCTTTACTTGGCCTCAAAACTAATTTATCTTATCTCAACGCACAATGCAATAATATACAACATCCCCAAAATCAACACATACACATAAGATGTCCCGTTCTTCCATTTCTTCCAACAAGGAATCACTTCAATTAAGTTACAATCCATGATATATATTTATTTACACAAATTCTATTATTCCAACACTATACAAGTTATACTTAATTTTTTTTATTTTTATAAAAGGTACATGATCATGTTCTATACAAAAGACAACAAGATAAGAGTTCTAGTCTAGTCTTAATTTACGATGGGTTGTCGCCCGCCCCTTCTTTTTCCAAACTTGAAAAGTGTTAAAATAATGGGGTGAGCATAAGCTCAGTAGGAAATGTCTAAGATGCACCTCTTATGACCATGTGAATCCACATAAGCAATAGAGTAGAAGTAAATGAGATCATGCCTTGGGAAAACAAGTAAAATAATGATAATAATCAACAAGTACATACGCAAGTCGTCTAACCACCAAATATACGATGTATGCCAATGCAATGCCATGCCATGCAATGTCGCTCCTCATTTATGAAACAATACCGTTTTAACTTCTAAACCGTTAGTATGATCCGATCCAAGGCACCTCCAAAGCGTCACAAAGGGAG